CGCTATTCACTCCGCATTGTTACAGGTCTGTACTGTCGCTCTCTTGCTCGATTATTGTGCGCTGTTGTTTGTTGCCTAAATTAACTGGGAGATGTCGGCTCTTGTTGAAAACAAAAAAAAAGTTCACAAGCTCCAAAGTAAAATTTAAAATGGATTGAGAAACAAGTATAGCAATACTAATTTTGCTACAGTTATGCGTTTTTGCGATAAGGTTTTGCGGAATTGCAGTAGGTGACCGATACTAATCTCCTTTTTAGAACACCCCGATGGTTTGATGAACCATCTGTCGAGCGATACTTATTCACAGTTAAAGCTCTGGGAAATCACACCGCATGCTCCGAACGGGGCTAGCATTTTTTGGTAGTTTCCAAGTTAAAAATGTGATAAGATAGAAAGGCATGCACACTTGCATATTTGGGTTTGCGCATACAAGAGGGCGAGTAAGCAAAATCTTACTTTAGTGTGTCTTTTTGTTGCATTATGGACCTTAAAACGCAAAAAAGCAAAATATGCGAAGAGAGTTCCTATTTCCCCGCAAATTGACAAACACAACTGTTATACTGCGACACTAATTTTTTTTTGCGTGCACCGGTTTGGGCCAAGTTTGATACATGGACACGTTTCTAGGCGAAACCCTGCAAAATTTTTTTTTTTTTTGTTTTGTGCAAATAAAATTTTTCTGACCCCGACGGCATCAAAGATCAAACACCACCAGTTGCTCCCAGATTTCTGAACAGGGGCTATTTGACATGCTGGAGAACCCCAGTATTTAGTTTTTCCAAAAATAAACTAGTTTCTCGGCAACAGTTTCGATTGTCACGTGGCCATTCCATGCAGTTAGGCCTATTAACAATTAGTTCCATTAAATGACCAACTAAGCCGAAACTTGACGTATAAGTTAAAGCTGTAGTTTTGAGCAAGAATTTTTTTTACCGAGGAGAGGGGAGGAAAGGTGCAATGGGTGGTCTTTGATCTTTTCCTACGAAATTTTTTCCCCAAATCGCGGAAAAAAAAACACTGTTATTCGCCCTAGAACGTTTCCAAATACCAAATAGACCAATTAGTATGGGCGCTAGTAATTTGACGGATTATTTTCACCAAAAAAAGAGTCAAAAATAACGTGAAATTTTGTTAAATTATAAAAGCTTCATTACTGTAGGCGATAACGGAATATTCATCGACGAAAGGTGCGCGCCCAGGGCAGGCCACGCCGTTTGGAATTATATTTACAGATGGTTTCGGGCAAAAAGATACTACCGAAGCAGCAGCTCTTCTTAGGAACCTTATTCCAAATATGTTTGCTGTAGCAATCAACCGCCAGGTATTACTGTGTTTCCTTATACACATAATCAGTCGTCGAGGAGAACACTTCGATAACTCCTTGCTCAGCGCTTATTAATATGCAACACTGCACAAAACACACACACCCGTAGAACATACGTACAAATAGCCTCGATAATGTACGTTTTGTACAACAGTTGCAGCACGAAACGCATAAAAAGCAAACGCAATTTAACTGTAGGCACGTGTGGTTCAGCTGGTCATTATTGCGGATTTCTATTTCATTAGCCTCTTTTGAGGGGAATTTACCGCCTATGAATCACTTCAACAGTTGAAAATACACACATACACACACACACACACACACACACACACACACCTACACACACATACAACATACATACAAACAGCTTCGATAATATACGTTTTGTACAGCAGTTGCAGCACGAAACGCATAAAAGGCAAAAGCAGTTTGACTGTAAACGCATGTGATTCAGCTGGTCATTACTGCGGATTTCAGGGTATTGTCTCAATTTCATTAGCCTTTTTTAGAGGGATTTACCGCCTATCAACACTTCAACAGTTGTTCTATCGATGCATTTTTCTTGAATGCACAATTCTTCTTGACTATACAATTTTTATCGCATAAATGCTACAGAATGTAATCATAAATGGGTAGTAGCGCTGTAA